CCAGCCTGGAGATCACTCAGTGGGAATTGCAAGCCACAAATACAGCAAGACCACACCAGGACCTGGGTAGAGGCATCCATGCTCAGGTTCTCTGTCTGGATACAGGCACAGGTGGAGGAGACAGGAGAAGTACTGGCACAAGCGCTACGGGTCTTCATCACCATCAGTCACTCCCTCTGCTCAACTCCCTCTTCAACTCCCCTGTCTGCAGTCCCCTGTCCGCTTCGCTCGTAGACTTACTGCTCTATTGGATGATTATTTCAAGCCCTATGCCACAATTCCACATGGGCTGTGTGTCCTTTCGTTACTCATATACCTTAGTGGAGATTGAGATGCATGAATATGATGTTGCTATGGAAGTCTGAAGTTGTATTTTTACTTATAACAAAAGGGTTCCACCATCTCAGATGACAGGAGACTCCATTTTTCTGCTTTAAGAATTCAACCATTTCCTTCTTTTAAAATCCCAGGCTCCAGGTCACAGCCACTGTCCTTCCAGCTGAGGAGGACGGGAAGGAACTTCCTTTAGCAACAGCCTTAATCAACTAATGCAACTGCTAACAATTGATGTAAGGCACTCCACCCCTTCCAAGGGCTGAGTTTGTCACTTCTACAGCATATCCAGACCCCCATTAAACCAGACAATGAGAGAACTTCCCAGAGTGTCCTGAATTTATTGATACCAAAGTTGTTTATTTAAATGATGTCACTGAAGAGTGAGCATGACTAAGAGAATTGTATATGTCTTCTGCATATTATAGTCATGAAGCTATTGAATAAGACAGGAATAGAAACCTACAGATCTTAAGGGAGATCTGTGTTGGTACAAATCCAGTTGCCCCCAGCATCCTGTGATCGATCCTCTTGCATAGTGCAGAGAGTTTGAAGTATGAGGCTTGATGTTTGCCCTTCATGCATGGAAGGCAAGAGACTCCTCCAATCAAAAAAATTATTCATATGCATAAGACCATGTCTAGATGATTCGGAAGATCAATGCTGCCATTGTCGATCCTTGGAGTTCGATCTAGTATAGACCCGCTAAATCAAATGGAGAGGCGCCTCCATCAGCACTGGTACTTCTGCTCTTCACAAGGAGTAAGGGAAGCTGATGGGAGTGTTTGCTCCTGTCAACCTCCACCTGTGTGGATGGCACAGAAATCGATTTAGGAGATGTCAGTTCCAACTACATAATTAATATAGCTGGAGTTGCGTATCTTAAGTCAATTTTCTGCTGTAATATATACTAGGCCTTGGTGAAATCATCATGGAAGATAGCTTCTGCTATAAACTACTTTTCAACATCATTTGTCATTTAAATGATTTTATCTATGAACTATGAACCAACAAGCTTGCTAAATGGCACTTGTGACACAAGCCATTCTTAAGTCATACAGGTGCAAAAATAAAGTAATTCCCAATTTTTAAACTTATTATATATTTTGATTAGACCTTTCATTAGGTATATACATCCAATTCTGCTTCTGAAACTAAGGCTTTGTCTACACTGCAGGGTTTTTGCGCAAGAAGCTTTTTGCGGAAGAGATCTTCCGCAAAAACTTCTTGCGCAAAAGCATGTCCACACTCAAAAGCAGAGAGCGTCCACACTGCAAGGACACTCTTGTGCAAGACAATTCTGATTGTTATTCACAGAATGGCCATCAGAGCACCTGTGCTTTTTCTGATAGACCCTTTTTGCACAAGAAACTCCTGTTGAGCATCCATAGACACCTTTATGAGCAAGAACTCTTGTGCAAAAAGGAGTTATTCCTCATAGAAAGAGGTATACCTATGCCGCAAAAAGCCCTCTGTTCTGCCTTTTTACTTTAAATTTTCTTGTGCAAAAAAGCTCTTGAGGTGTGGATACTCCACGGGTTTTTGTGCAGACATAGCCTAATAGTTTATTAGAGAGATGCTGAAAGTGTGTTACCCAGTGTAATGCTATAATAAATAATCGTGTGTCATCCCAGGAGGGCTTAATTAAGAGCAGATGACCTAATGAATGGAAATATAATCAATGGATTTTAGTGTGGTCACTAGGGAGAAAAACCATGATTTGATTATATGGTGTCAAGCAACAGTGAACATTTATTTTGGTAACTAAGCACAAGTACTGATGGTTTGCAATGATGCAGTATTGAATGGTATAAAAATGGGTTGGCATCTTACAAATGCTGATTATTACAAAGCAAGATCCAGCTTTTGAAACAAAGTTTTACTTTTCAGAAATCAAAATTGTTAGGATGGCCATATTTTGTTAACTGAACATTTAATTTTTCACTTTTAGAAAAAGATAAAGTTGGGCCAGATGTTTAATTTTTTTTTCTTTCAGGAAAAAATCATTTGTTGATGGCTGAGTATTGGTAGGTACGGCTGAAATTTATTAGATTCTGGTGAACTGCATGAGAAGGTGATTTTCTGCCTAGGAGGCAGAACTGTGGTTAGACTACATTCCTAAGGATCTGAAATTCTATGTTCTGTTTCTGGGCAAGTGACTTAAAATATATCTCAGCCACCCAGTTCATGAAATGGGGCTGCTAATATCTACTCAACAGTGCTGTGAGGCTCAATGTTTGTCAGGCCTGATGACAGGGGGTGGAAAGGGTGCAAATGCAGAGCAGCCTGGTGTTTTGAAGGTGCCTAGAGCTCCCAACCGCTGCTGCAGGTGGTGGCCAGAGCCCTGAGCTCCTTTAAATTGCCACGGGAGCTCTGCTTTGCCACTCTGCGCAGCTCTGAGGACCTGAGGGAGGGTCCAGTGGCACACTCCGAGCGGCATTAAGGTCTGCCTTTGACCCCACCCTAGACTCTGCCTTTCCAGGGTTTGGAGTTGGCCCCCCCACACTTTGTCCCCAGGCCTGCAGTGGCTGTCGGCTCTGCTGATGTTTGTGGATGTTTGAGATTACCAGATGAAAAACACTACGTACTTTAGGCCCACCATGTGCTAGATGCTTTCCAGACAATAGGAAGGCAAGGTTCCAGCACTGAAGAATTTATACACTCCACTTTTCCTAGCCTTGTCTCCAAGACTAGTTCAACTGCTATCCATCACTTCCTTACCTCATTTAAATGATTCCAGGCATGAGCTTGACTTAGAATTTCTAAATCCTATTTTGTCTCTTTTCATGTTCAAGCTGCAATGAAGTTCTATATGTGAAACCCTGCAGTGAACTGCTTTATGAGAAAAATGATGCTAATTATGAGCCTGGAGAAATTACAAAATATGCAGCCACATATATGACATTCTTGGCTGGCAATACAAGAAAAACTAGCAACTGCAGACAGGATTTAGCCAGTCAAGCTTTTCAAACACTGCTGTTAATTTGCAAGACATTAAGATCCTGATGCAGCGAGATGCTTAAGAACGTGCCCAACTTTAAACACAAGAAGGCCCATTAAAGTCAGTGAGATTACCAGTACTATCATGCACTAGTTCCACATCCACAAAGGTACTGGCAATCAATTGGAATACCACTGGCATACCTTTGAAGACATGTGCCTCTGCACTTGAATAAAGATAACTTATTCAATAGAAAAAACAGGACTATGTAGCACTTTAAAGACTAACAAGATGGTTTATTAGGTGATGAGCTTTCGTGGGCCAGACCCACTCCCTCAGTTCAAAGAAAATGGGTCTGGCCCACAAAAGCTCATCACCTAATAAACCGTCTTGTTAGTCTTTAAAGTGCTACACAGTCCTGTTTTTGTTTCAGCTAGACCAGACTAACACGGCTACATTTCTATCATTATTCAAGAGAGATGTATTTGGACCAATGTTTATAAGAGTGGATCTGGGTTTCTCAGCAGAAAGGGAATTTTATGCATGACTGGTGGTAAGAGAATTAGTGAAAACAGACTTGTTTGTATAAACCTTTTAGGAACAGAAAATAGCCCTCTAGTTACTTACAAAATAGGACACTGCAAGAGACCCAGCCACACAAGCGTCCCCACACAGCTTCCGCCAGCTTACCCTGGAGGGATTACTTTCAGTTATCAAGAATTAGTGCAGTGTCTATGTCCATTCAGTTTTGGGCCTCTGCAAGCAAAAGCCAAAGTTAAGGACAGTTTCTGATCTCAGGTGCACCTGAGTATTTCCATTAAAATGAATGGAGTTATTCCAACTGTATACTAATTTAACCGAGAGCTGTTTTACATTCTGATGTATTGTGTGTACCTCTGTTTTGGTCTGTTTGTGTCCCACTAATATTATTTCAGCTGAGACTTATTGGAGTCTTGTTTTCTGGGGACAGGAGTTGTTCAGTGACTGGAAAATTGTGACAAGCTTCTTCTCCTGTTACAAATACTCATTGTAGTACATCATATTTCTGTCACTCAGTCCCAAGCCTAATAAGTGTAAGGCATAAATATTTCCATTTATAAATAACTTTTTCATCGCATCTCTTTTCTAAAATATTTGGCAGACATCCCAGGTAGAAGATTTGAAATTATGTCCTGCCAAAGACAATTGCTGATGATGAAACACAGCACACATGAGAAGGTTACTGGTTGCTGAATATATAGCTGTATTTTGAAGGCAATTTGGAAATGCTACACAATATTTTCCAAATGTATCATAAAGTCACAAGAAAAGGCCATTTGGACTCAAACTGAGTCTGATTTTGGGTATTTTTGCTGGCCAAGGTTAACATTTTATACAACTCTGACACAATTCTCAACACAGCCAGATTACTCATATGGAGTTTTGCCCCCATTAAAGGGTAATTTACGATGTAAATTATGCTGCTGCCCTTATTGGGCCAAAGTTTTGCCCTCAGATATATTCACAAAACTTCATATGGCATCAGTGGGAGTTCTGGATGAAAAACCAACCCTTTACAGAGGGCTAGCACATCAGTACAGCACCCCCTATACACAGATGCACATCAATAGCCTAAATCAATGTCAGGGTTTACAGTATACATCAATTTACACCATCAGACGATAGACTTAAGTGAAACCTTTTGCATATGTGCTGCAGCAGAGAAATCTCTCCTATATGCATAATACAACTACCTTGGTGAATGGCAGAAACTATGTCATCAGGAGACACTCTCCAACTGACCTAGTGCTATGTACATGGGCACTTATGTTGGTGTAACTTATGGTACTCAGGGAGGAGTTTTATTTACACCCGAGTGATGTAAGTTTTGCAGACATAAGCTGAAGAGTAGTTATGTCCTTAAATAGTCAAACTTAAGAGGTAACTCTCAGCATAGGGGTGAATTTAACACTTTGGATGTCCCTCTGATGACATAATTTGTCTGTTAGGCTGCACACTAAGTGGAAAATTAAGTGTGAAATGTAATGAGGTTGCAGGACACAAAATGAATCCATGACCCCTTACTCAAGCGAGCATTGTGCATGTGTATTTCAGATCAGAATGTGGCTAAGGACTTCAGAATGTATGTTGTTTTCTTCATTTGTTGCTCTTCCTCCTACCCAGTGTCTTTGAGCAGGGAACTAGCAGTCCATCATCTCTGCAACTGAACTACTGGTAGCACTGGATCTCTGAGAACCTTCCCTTATATTTCCTAGGGCATGTCTGCATTACCTGTCACATCAATGGGCAACAGTTGATCTGGAGGGAGTCAGGTTATTGTGTCTAGCATAGATGTGATAAAACAACCAACAACCACTCTCCTATCAACTCCAGTACTCCACCAGAAGGAGAAGCATGGGTGGAGTTGACAGGAGAGTGTCTGTCACTTACTCACCACAGTGAAGACACTGCAGTAAGCAGACCTGAGTTATATAAACTAGGCCTGTGCAAATTTGTTATGTGTGAAGGGTGACTTTTCCTTGTGTTGAAAGACTGCCACATGCTATGAATTTCTGCCACCTGTGGCCCTGAAACATCAAACATCAAATTAAGTGCATGCTTAAATTTGAGCATGCAAATGCTTCCATTGACACTGAAGAATATATGTTAGTGCTTTGCAGAGCTGAGAACTATATGATTAGATTTTACTGTTTAACATCCTCATAGATAATACCAGTTAAACAGTAAAATTAAATGTTTGCCATTTACATGGATGTTTGTCATTTACATGAGCAATTTGCATTGAATTAGCCTTAGACTGTTATTAACTCGAATGTGATAAATTATTATGAGGCAGGTCTGAAAACTGCAGCTGTTGCAGCAAAGGGAAACTGCTCTACACACCAAGCAGTGTTTCTTTTTTTAGGTGAGATCTGTGCCTACAAGACTCAGTAATATACAAACATGGCTGAGGATACTAAAGCTGCCTAATTGACACCTTAAATTATTAGGAACTGGGTGTATAGACCTCATAGATGAATATCAAAACCAAACAACTAAGTCCTGGCCCTTGTTGCCATCTGGCCAACATAGTCCCAGTCAAGGCCTAGCCCCGGATTGGTGATGGTGGTCTATCCCTGTCAGGATATACTCAACATTTCATGTGAGTGTTTTTAATTGCTAATTGCAAATTGTCTTATGATTTTTTTTAAGGGGAGTGCTGGTCTTTTCTGAACATCCCAGCTTTTAGTAATCAAAGGGTTAAACTCAGGTAGCTAGAAGGTATTGGTAGGGAGCCTGGACAGCCAAAGGGGGAAGGTGTTAAGATTTGAAATGAAAGAATCCTTGCTTGCTTTTTCTTCTTTGCATGAGTTTTAAGCCAGGAGTTGGGGGAACTAGATGAATTGAAACAGGCAGAACTATTATGTCTACAAAGAATACTGGGCACAGAAATGGACTGGATCTCAAAGCATGGATCAGTGAGTAGATAGAGAATGGAATGTCATTTAAATATGATCAGGGGTTTTTTTGTTTGTTTTATTGTTTGGTTAAACTTCTTTGTCTTAAATCCATGTGCCCCTCTTCCATACACTGTACTTTAAGCTGTATCCCAGGGATGGAATTCATCTGTATTTTTAAATTGTTCTTAGTTGCTTTTAAACACCTACCAACCAAGTATGCTTTATCTAGTATATATTTTTTTGTTTTGTTAATTAAATCACTTTTTTAAAGGTGGTGATTTGATTCTCGTGTCCTGGAAGCTAACAGGAAGTCTGTGTATACATGCCTAAGACTTATTTGTTTGGTTTTTGATATTCATTTGTTTTGAATTTGTTTTCTTTTTCTCAAGTGCTCTTGTGGTAAAAGATCTTGGAGTATCCCTCTGGAAGAAGTTCCCAAATGCCTCCTCCTGGACTCAAGAAAAAAAAAGGGGGGATTTCCTTACTTGGGTGGTGGCAGCTACCTCCCAAGGCCAAGGAATCTGTGATCTTGGAGAACTTTTAAGCAAAAGCCTATTGAGGCAGGGTATTTTTAAGGCTGTGGTCACCAACTCAATCATGAATGACTGGTTCATCGAGGGGGGGTACAACCAGTCGATCTTGAGGCAATCCAGCCACCCCCACTATTCCTCCCCACCCCAAGAAGGAGCCTGTGCTGGCGCTACCTCCTGAGAAAGGACTGCATGTGGTGGGGGGAACATCCTGCAGCTGTACACCAGAGCCAGTGTCTCAGGAGGCATGTGTGCTGCTTTCCCCCTCCCCAAACAGCTGGTGCATTTCCTGAAAACCAGGTCTGTCACGCTGCCGGGGACTTCCTTCCCCCTGCTGCCTTCCTGCAGGGGGCAGGGAGAGAATAGGAATTGCAGGACTGGGCCAGCTCCAACTGCTCAGGAAGCATGCAGCTGTCGTGGGGAGCAAAGGAGCAGGGCGCGCACTTCCTGAGCAGTTGGAGCTGGCGTGGTCCCGGGACTCCTACTCCCCCCCCTCCTCCCACATAGGATGGCAGCAGGGGGAAGGAAGTCCCCACGTCACAACAGACCTGGGTTTTCAGGAAGTACACCAGCTGTTTGGGGAGAGGGGAAACAGCACACATGCTTCTGAGACTCAGACTCAGCACCTGACCCCTGCCGCCACTTGCACCTTGCCCTGGCCCCCAACAGCACCCTGTCTCCTGCCAAA